CAAAGGTGTAATTAAAAATTTAAATCAATTTCAAAGGAAGTGTTGCCGTATGAATTCGACATCGCAGCTGTAGCAAGGGGATGCAAATATATGCGTTAGGTTAACAGGAGATATAAAGCAGATAAGTGGTGGTGTCGGAGTACATCACCTAAACTCCAAATTGTTCGGTGCAAGTAAAGTTTCCAGTAAGGTCCAATGTTTATCATTATTTATCCTATTTTGTTTGCATTTCGTTTTGTTTACATTTGATTTTATTGATGTCGTCGGACTGAGATGGCCGATCAGCTGGGCTACTGTGCGGACTGAGGGCTGGGAAGAACCCCACCACGAGATGGACTGGCTAGCCGGCCTTGCCCCATCGAAGAACCAGGTCCGTAACAATAGATGGCGCCCAATTTAAAAGCAGGAGTGGATTCGCTGATCCTGTCATCCGAAAGGTTGGAAAGGATGCGAATTGCACATCGGTGGGAATTATAAATAACCAGCCGAGAGGTAGGATCTCGGAAGGGACTTGGTGATTCGGGTACCTCGGTGACCGATGGCCTATGAAGGACCTGATGGTCGGTTCAGAGTAGAGCGGTGCCGGAGGATCTGGAAGCAAAGATACCCCAAAGTAAATGTAATTTTTTTTTGTTGAAAGAGATTGGTACGTATCTGACGAACGGAAGAGGGTGCTCGGTAAGGGTGGTTCGGCACTAGCAGGAAATAATTCTTCGGCTAGTTAGCGACTATCCCGATGCCTGGTGTGCTACTCGAGCGCCTGGAAAATAAGGCAGAATAATAACCGGAATCAGAAATAGTCCAAATAGGGAAAACTTCCCTTACTTACCCGTGATGAGGTCAGGATGTGGAATATCGACTGTGAGTGGCCCGTGGGGACCAGAGAAGTCGGCCACGCGTTGCATTCATGGCGGCTCTTCACTCCTAGAACAATCATTTAGTGATGTAAGGAAGGAGAAGTTTAGATAATAGAATGGCGAGCGCCCTTGACACCTAGTCTTCTGGGGAAGATGGGATGGTCAACAGCGCTCACCGAGAAACTTGTGCTGGAAATCCGGGGTGAAGTTGGCTCCGGTGAATGTTGAGTTTTTCCCTCCTTGTGGTAGTTGTGAAATTTTGTTTAAGTTGTCATTGTGTGTTGTGGATGCGCAGCCGGTTCAAAACTATAAAAAAAAAGTAAAAGATAAATATTAGTAAAACATCTAAGTAAAGATAGATTAGGAAAAGTTGATGAGCAAGTATTTTTTAAGGTCAAAGGGGAAAATGGTAGACAGGACTCCTCCGCCAGGGAATCCTCGGAAGGGGCATCAAGAAGGAGACGATGACAGCTGGAATTTGCCAATAGCATCGAAGGTCCTGCCATCGGAAATCACATCGGCTGTCAATGTGGCCTTAGCCCAGGCTCAGGAGACGCAACGAGGAGGAATGATGGAGTCCATAAGCCGATCTTTGCAAGAGGAGATCCGGCGCGGGTTTATGGAAATGATGATTGCCGTTACCGAGGCAATGGGACCATTGAAGCAGCAAGTAGAGTTGCTACAGATGCAAGAAGTAGCGAATGACGGAAGTGATAGCAGGCATAGCAGCAGGCAGGACGGGAAGGACAGAAGAGCACTGGAACTAAGCCAAAATATTCCACAGGTGTACCTCCAGCTTCGCCGCATATACAACGTCCGCAATCCCTAGATGCAAAACAGTATTCCGCGCAGAACGAACCCATCCAGAGATCTCCTAGGTTCGAGGATGGACGAGCCTTGCGTCAGCAAGCGGAAAGGGAGGTCGAGGGTAGATTTACAAGGTGGGGACGAGTTGAAAAGTGGGAGATATACTTCGATGGAGACCCAAACAAAATGATGGTGGAAGATTTTGTTTTCCGGGTCGAGTTTCTTCGAAGGCAAAGTCGGTGTTCCTGGGATGAGGTCCTCGACAGTTTTCATCACCTGGTCAGGGGCAAAGCGGCCGAGTGGTATTGGCAATTTGTCCGTGAGCGACCGCCCGAGGTTTGGGAAGATCTAAAGGACGAAATTGTGGCCAGGTTTCGAGGCGTCGGTGGTGAGTTTGAGCGGCTACGCGCTCTCCATGAACGGCGACAAAGACCTGGGGAATCAGTCGAGGATTATTTCGGAGCCATGCGACGATTATCGACCAGACTTACCCAACCCATGTCGGAGTCCGAAATGATCCGGGTGATTAAGAAAGGACTCGCTGAGGATATCGATCGGTATGTTTACGCAGTCAGGGTACGAAGCGTGAAGCAGCTTCGCGAGGAATGCTTGGAAGTGGAAGACACTTTTGTCAGACGAGAGCCCAGGCCAGCATACCGCCCGTCGCAGAAGTTTTCGTCCTCTGGAAAGAGAGTCGATGAAATCATACCGGAACCGGAATCACAGGACAAGGAAGAAGAGGTGATTATAGAGGAGGCTCACCTGCTGACCAAGCAGAGGATATGTTGTTGGAACTGCGGACAGTTTGATCACGGGTTCCGCGATTGTGTGGCCAAGGAACGCAGAATCTTTTGCTACCGCTGCGGGAAACCGGAACACTTTACTCCGACATGTCCGAATTGTTCGGGAAACGGCCGACCAAGCGTGACGAAAGCAGGCAAGCAACGCTTGGGCCAGAAACCTGCGTGGAAGTAGATGATAAGGAAGAAGAAAATTATCAGTATATTATTAATAAACAAAATAGATTAGGGATTAATAAATTAAGATTTCTACCAGCAGAAGAAAGAATAAAAAGATATATTGAAGTACGAAACAGGATTTTTGACGCCAGACAGCTTGAAGGTATGCGGGGAGTCAGCCGCAGGCTTCTAAAGACCCGTTCCCGCTTTAAGAAGAGGCGACAAACGCGCCAGGAGGTGGCTGAAGCAATCCAAAGTGGAACGAGAACGGATCCAAGGGTTTTCGCTGAGGTGACCACACACGGCCGGAAGATTGCGGGACTGCTGGATACAGGAGCCTCCGTAAGTCTACTGGGCAAAGACAGTAGAGAGCTGATGGCCAAACTCGGGGTAGAGATGGACAGATATGTGTCCGTCGTTAAAACAGCTGCCGGTGAAGACAGATCCATAATCGGAAAAATAAAGCTTCCTGTTGGATATAAGGGGATTGTAAAGGACATTCTCTTCTACATATGCCCGTACCTGGAACAATCGATGTACTTGGGGATCGATTTCTGGAGATCTTTTGAGTTGGCTCCAGCAGTTCTAGGTGACGAAAACAGCGAATCCAGTCAAGCTCAAGTAGCTGAAGTCAAGATGTCCCAGATCAGCCACTATGCGGAAGATAGAAGACAAGAAACGGGGGTAGAAGCTTGGGACCTGGGAATGAATGAAGCTGAGGAGTTGGAGAACGTGAAGAAGGAATTTTTGACTTACGAAGAAGCCGGGCTAGGAACGACTGCAGCAGAACAGCACCAGATCCAGCTGGTGGAGGGCGCAGTACCGTTTAAGGATCGTTGTTACCCGCTATCACCAGCGATGCAGGAAGTGGTCTGGAAAGAAGTAGACAAAATGCTAGAGCTAGGGGTTATAGAGGTTAGTGATAGTCCGTGGAGCAATAGAACAACACTTTACCAATTCGTGATGATGCCTTTCGGCCTCTGCAATGCGGCCCAAAGATTATGTCGATTGATGGACCAAGTCATTCCGACACAACTACGATCAAACGTATTTGTCTATCTGGACGATCTTCTGGTGATAGCTCCTGACTTCCAGACGCATCTGCGATATCTTCGTTTGGTAGCACAATGCCTGAAACGGGCAAATTTGACGATAGGGTTAAAGAAGTCTAAATTTTGTTTCAAATCTTTAAAATACCTTGGGTTTATCATTGGGGGTGGAAAGCTGCAAATGGATCCAGAAAGAGTCTTGGCCATACAGAAGATTCCTGATCCGAAGAACGTAAAGGAGTTACGAAGCTTCCTAGGTACAGCAGGGTGGTACAGACGATTCATAAAAAACTTTGCATCCATTGCAGCACCGCTAACTGACGCCCTCAAGAAACATCCAAGGGGCAAGTTTTCCTTGACTCCGGAGGCTGTCGAGGCCATAAAGCACTTAAAGATGGCGCTAACTACAGCCCCAGTATTAGTCCATGCTGATTTTAAACGTCCATTCTTTATCCAATGCGACGCCTCTAACTATGGAGTGGGAGCAGTATTGTTCCGTAGCTTTCTTCTCTTCCAAACTGAATAAACATCAGATTTTGTATTCCGTCACTGAAAAAGAATGTCTGGGAGCGGTATTAGCAGTTGAAAAGTTTAGGCCTTACTTGGAGCTGATGCCGTTTACTGTGATCACGGACCACGCAAGCCTAAAGTGGCTAATGTCTCTCAAGGATCTAAACGGGCGTTTGGCAAGGTGGTCTTTAAGGTTTCAGAGTTTCAACTTTAAAATTGAGCATCGCAAGGGAACTGAAAACGTGGTTGCTGACACCCTGTCACGCTGCATAGCAGAGCTGAGTTTCGATTTATCTGATGCCATTGGGTTTCAGACGACAGAATTCGAGTCCGCGGAATACCAAGAATTAAGAGAAGAAATTAGTTGAAATATAGCAACATTGCCTGATTTACGCGTAGATGGAGGATTAGTCTTCAAAAGAACGACATTCGAACAACTTGACGACCAAGTAGAAGGCTCAATTTGGAAGCTGTGGATCCCGGCAGGAATAACATCTACACTAATAGCGAACGCGCACGAGGATCACAAAGCTGCACACGGGGGGATGAAAAAGACACTTCATCGTCTGAAACGTTATTTCTACTGGCCGGCTATGACGACACAAGTGCGGGAGTATGTCCGGAATTGCACCAAATGCAAGGAATCAAAACCACCAAATTATCGTTGTCAAGTCGGAATTGGTCAAGAAGTAGTCACGGAACGGCCGTTTCAGAAGATCTATATAGATTTTCTTGGAAAGTATCCCAGGTCCAAAAAGGGACAAGCATATACATTTGTTGTTGTAGATCATTTTTCGAAATTTACCTTTTTAAAAGCGATGAAGGAGGCGAGTGTTGGGAAAGTGGTCGAATTCCTGGTGCACGAGGTGTTTTACAAATTTGGCGTACCTGAGGTAATCCACTCCGACAATGGGAAACAGTTCGTGTCGAAAATATTCCAAGACATGATCACGGCATTCGGCATTCAACACATGCGTACCGCTGTATATTCACCACAGAGCAACGCAGCCGAGAGGGTAAATCGGACCATTCTAGCTGCAATTAGAACGTATTTAGAAAATGATCATCGAGACTGGGACCTATACTTACCGGAAAGTGTCGATTCGTGATTCCGTGCATGAGGCCACGGGTGTAACACCGTTCTTTGCAGTATTTGGACAACAGATGTTCCTAAATGGAAACTGCTACAAACTGGCAAGAAAACTGCAGTCTTTGACAGAACATCAAATAACGACGCTGGATCCAGTAGATAAGCGCCAACTTATCCGCGATCACATTCGGGAGAATCTCCATCAGGCATATGAACGCAGCAGTCAGCGCTATAACAAACGGGCGCGAGTTTTCCATGCCAAGCCTGGCCAAGAAATCTACAGACGCAATTTCACTCAGAGCAATTTTGGAAAGATGTACAATGCCAAGTTTGCTCGAAAATATGTGAAATGCCGAGTCATACGCCCTATAGGGAACAATGCCTACGAATTGGAGGATCTGGGGGGGAAGCCTGTTGGGATTTTCCACGCAAAAGACCTAAAAATGTAAATATAAATAGTGGATGTAGCTGTACCCGTACACACGCATACTTACATATATACCTGGGTAGCAAAACAAGAGTCTAGTGGGTGTAGGCCTACGTTGGGCACAAAAGGCGAATCGGGGGGAAAGGCAGGATAGCAAAGTTGTTGTTTTGATTATTAAAAACACTATAAACACAATTTCACGGCAAGTCAATCTTTCAATGTTTACAAATAATTCGCTTCGGCCAGCATTCTCGCAAATTTTTGTGTGGTGTTGCAATTGAAAGCTATCGACAGGGGAATATCGCCCTAAGAGATGGTAGTGTGACCAGTTTTTCAAAGGTTAGCAGGGCCAAGAAAGAGAGGGGAAGTGAGGAGAGTAAGAGGCGCTCTGGTTGGCGGTCAGAAAAGAGAACCTTAATCCGCTCTTAGATTCCACCACCTCCCCTGGCCCAGAAGCATCTCCACCCACACCAAACCATGAGGAACTGCACCCACACCGATAGCTGAATGAGAGCCGAGCGGCTACGTGATGCAAATGGAAGAGGTCTCTGCCGTTGGCGAAAAACCGAGAAAGGGATCAGGGAAAAAAATCGGGTGATGCTGGTGCTGGGCAGAGGGTATAAATAGGGCTGAAAGGGATCAGGCCACCACGAGTTCCGAAAAATGTTTACAGCAGCAAGTGGTTCGGGAAATTTGAAGTGAAAATTAATATATATAATATTAAAAGTGAGTTAGATGATGGGGTAGTGGCTATCATTCTAAAGTGTAGTATCATGTGTAAGGATGCTCTCTGGCCGGGGTACAGATCTCAGTCAGATCCAGGAGTCCTTTACAAGAAATTTGTAAATCACCGAAACACCGGACTAGAGAGTATCATTCAACGAGTGAATGAGTCGTTTAGGGAGTCACACCGAAGATTCTCATAGACGCCGGGGGAGAGAGAGTTGGTGTCGGAGTTGGTCGCGCCGTACCTTGTTCCTGGGTTAAAAATTCCACGGGCTGGACCTTGGGGCGAGGCCAAGCCAGGCAAACAGTTTTCGCGAGTATGGGGACGCCGGATAGTCCCGCAGATCACTTCCGCGATTGGGACACGTAAGTCGCTTTCCGCGTGTCGCAGGCCAAAAATTCACCGGGCTAGACCTTCAGACGAGGCCAAGCTAGGATACTATTTCGCGAGAGTAGGGCCGGGGAGGTTGCGTCGCGCGCAAGTCGTTCTCGACGTATCGGATGCCAAAAATCCACCGGGCTGGACCTTCGGGCGGGGCCAAGCCGGATAGGATTTGTCGGACACGAGGGGGGATTGGAGGAGAAAGGATGGCGGTACGATTGACCAGTCGGGAATGATGTCCGCGCGCAGGTCACATGCACTACGAAGAGAAAAGCTATTGTACTAGACCAGACGGGCCGGGTGTCCACGTACGGGTCACATGCACTACGAGGAGGGGAATCTAAGGTACTAGACCGAACGGGATGGGTGTCCACGTCGGGTCTCAAATGCTAGCTAGGGTACTAGACCAGACGGGCCGGGTGTCCACGTACAGGTCACATGCACTACGAGGAGGGGAATCTAAGGTACTAGACCGAACGGGATGGGTGTCCACGTCGGGTCTCAAATGCTACGATGTGGGGAACCAAGATACTGGACCAGACGGGCCGGGTGTCCACGTACAGGTCCCAAATACTACGGGGAGTGAGGTTAGGATACTAGACCGGACGGGACGGATGTCCACGTACAGGCCCCATGCACTACGAGGGGGGAGGTTAGGGTACTAGACCAGACGGGACGGATGTCCACGTAGAGGCCACATGCACTACGAGGAAGGGAGCTAGGCTACTATAAATAAAAAGAATCACGATCATGGAATTTACTTTGTTTTATAATTCTATTTTATTATTATTATTATTATCTTTTTATTTATCTACTGTCTTCCTACGAGTCCGCTACACCGTCTTTGTTTGACGGATAGGAATTTTGCATACACTAACCTCAAAACAATCACTAGTCCACTTCTTCACTAACCGCGTGCCTTCGCGCGGTCGAGGCGTAACTCGAATTATCCGGCAAGCGAGTTAAGGGAGGCGCGTCCGCTCCGTTCTACTTTTCCGGCACGAGAGACCTTTATTCATTTGTCGTCGCGCGGTCGAGGCGTTACTCGAATTACACGGAAAATTACTGCGGGAGACACGTCCGCCCCGTCTTACCATTCCGACACAAGAGACCGCCTGCTCGATCGGTGTGTGACCACCTTCCCCACGCTCCCTTTTTCCCGCTTTCGGGATTTCTAGTATATTTCTTAATTTCTAGTATTTTCTGTACTCACTAAATACCTGCTGGCGTTGCCACTCGGGTTCGGAACTTAGCTTAACTACGGCTTAATATTCAGTTTCAACTTAATATCTATTATTCATTATGTGTCACTTACACCTATAACTTACATACTACTAACTTAATATTTAATATTCACGATCAGTCGCTTATACCTATAACCTTACATATTACTATTCAAAAATTGTATCGTACACCTAAGTGTGTACGTTACACCCCCCCTTTCTTCCCGTGGCGCGATAAAAAGGCGCCCGTCGCCGGTAAACTAACCTTCGAATTCCCTACGTGACGGCGTAGCTAACAAAGGACTCGGTCTTAATCTATTACAATGGTTATACGAGGCTTATACAGTGGTTATACAATGGTTATACGGTGGTTATACAATGAATATTAAATTTATCTGCGGCTGCATGCTGCTTACTGTATCGGGTCGTTCGATCCGACAATACTATCGTCGATCCTATCCGGATGGGCTTCTGCGTAGTACGGTTTGAGCTGGGATATGTTGGCGATGCGTCGCCGTCGATCTCCGGGACGTTGCAGGCGTACCAAGTTCGGAGATGTGAACTTCGTAACGGTGTAAGGGCCGTCATACTTGGGAGCAAGTTTGGCGGCGAATCCCTCGGCTGCTTTCGATAAGGGATGCTGTCGCAGCCAAACTTGACCGCCGAGCGTGGGTCTCCATTCTCGCCTTCGTAGGTTATAATGTCTCGCCTGGTCTTGAGACGCTCGCTGAAGATTCGCTCGTACGATGTCGAAGATGCCTTTGAGGTGAGACGCCTTGTCTTCAGGACCTGTATGCACGACCGCCGATCCGGGGGTGAGTTCATCATACAGCATCGCAGGCAAGCGTGGTTCTCGTCCTTGAGTTAGAAACGCGGGACTATACCCCGTCGAATCCGATACACTGCTATTGATCGCGAGGGATATCTCTGGCAGCATATTATCCCACGAACTCTGGTCGCCTTCCGACAGCTGGGATATCAGCGTCTTAACAGTGCGGTTGGTCCTTTCTGTGGGATTCTCTTGTGGACAATATGGAGCCGTGTACTGGACTTCTACGCCGAGCTTGGTGAAATAGTCTTTCAGGACCCGGCTTGTGAATTGGGTTCCATTGTCGCACACGAACTTCCGGGGAATGCCCACTCGTGCAAGTATACGTTCCCGAAACGCTTTCTGCACTTGAGCTGCGGTGGCTTTTCGGAGTGGTATCAGTTCTATCCATTTCGAAAATACGTCGTGAAACACCAGAAGCATGGTATTTCCTTGTTTTGACCGGGGTAGCGGGCCTACAAAATCCGCGCAGAGAATGTCGAAAGGTTCGTTGACAACCCGGGTTAGCATCTTACCTGCCGCTTTGGTTTGTTCCGTCTTAAACTTTTGACAAGATTCACAATGGCGAACATGGCGTTTCGCGTCGCGATACATACCGGGCCAGAAATACCTCTGGGTCAGACGCGTAATTGTTTTTCGGACTCCCAAGTGTCCTGCGGTCGGGGAATCGTGACATTCACGTAAGACGCGGCTTCTACGAGAAGTTGGCACACAGAGCTTCCACGGGAAGTAGTCCTCATCGTCAGCTCGGTAACCCATGTTCCTGTAGAGCTGGTCGTTTTCGATCATGTAGTCAGCGAATTTCTCGGGTTCCTCCTGTATTTGCTCCTTCATCCTTTTGATCCAGTCGCAGTGGTCCTCGAGTTCGACAGCACCCTGCAGTATCTCACAAGGCTGTCGAGAAAGTGCGTCGGCCACGACGTTCAATTTACCTCGTCGATAGCGTACGTCGAATTGGAATTGCTGCAATTCTAGCGCCCAACGCGCTATTCGGCCAGAAGGGCTCTCAATAGAATTAAGCCACTTGAGAGCTAGATGGTCAGTAACGACCTCGAATCGGTACCCTTCCAGGTAGCACCGCACCTTCCTGATTGCCCAGATTATGGCCAGACACTCTTTCTCCGTGGTAGTGTAATTTTGTTCCGCGGGGGTTAATCGGCGGCTAGCGTATGCGATGACCTTCTCTTGACTTTCGGAGCCCTGTGATAAAACTACGCCCAAGCCGACGTCACTCGCGTCTATTTGCAAAATGAACTTCTGGTCGAAATCCGGACAGCCTAATACGGGAGCAGTAGTCAGGCATCTTTTAATTTCTTCCAAGGCGGCTTGCTGTTCTGGTCCCCAAGTCCATTTCCGTCCTTTCTTTAGTAGCGCGGTCATCGGTTGCACGATAGTCGCGAAGCTAGGGACAAATCGCCGTATATTGGCGCTGTATATTGGCGACTATTCCTAGCCATGGGAATTTGCCAATAGCCATGCTTCAAGTCCAACGTGGAGATATATCGGGCGTGGCGTAATTTCTCCAGAATGTGATTGATTCTCGGGACTGGGTAGGCGTCGGGCACTGAGTGTGCGTTTAACTGACGGTAATCTATACACATGCGCCAATCGCCAGTTTTCTTCTTGACCAATACGATGGGAGCGCTGTGTGGGCTTTTGGAGGGTTCGATGGTCCCGTCACGGAGCAGTTCGTCTACTTGGGCATCGATGACATGTTGCATCGCGGGGTTCCGGGGATAATATCTTTGTTTTACGGGCTTGTCGTCGCGCATGACGATGGTGTGCTCGGCGACGTGAGACACCCCGTGCAGTTTCTCGAATAAGGC